CCTCCAGAGCCCTCCCGCGCAGGTGCAGAGCGAGGAAGCGCGCGGGGAGAGGGACGCACGACATCGCCGAGACGCCTGAGACCGCGTGCAGCAGGGACGCGCGGACCCAGCCCCAGTTCCAGGCAGGGACATCACAGGAGACAGAGGCCCCAGGAGGGGAGACACAGCCCACCACCACAGACCGACAGTCTGGAAGGGTCCCTGAAAGGAAGGCCAGGACCTTTCAGAGCCGGCCGGATCCAGCCCTCCCCGCTAAAGCTGCCCTGGCGGAGGGACACGCACACCACGCTCACGGGAGAGCGTGGACCCCAGGCCGCGCGGGGAGAGCGGGTGGCATCGCCAGGAAGGAGGTACACGCAGGAAGAGGGCCCAGCTCCAGGAGGACGGATGACCGATGCTGGGGGCAGCCTCGGGGTGCAGGGCACCCCGGCCAGGCCACTGCGGACAGCGACAGGGTCGGGGAGCGCAAGGAAGGCAGGAGGAGGAAGGGGTCAGACAACCACACACATTAGCACAAGAGCCCAAGGAGAGGAGGAAGGGCATCGAGCAGAAGGGGGACAGAGGAGGACGTGAGGCCCACAGGGTCGCAACCAGCGGTAGAGCGAGGAACCCCGAGCCCAGGCAAGGAGAGAGACCCAGGGAGACCAGACAGACAAGAAGCAGAGGCCGGCGGGGGACTCAGAGTGAGGGGACCTCGATACTCACCCGGGGCCCAGAGCCGGAGACGTGCCAGGTGAACACGCACAATGGTCAAGCGCCTCGGACCCTCGGGGCGTAGGGTGGCACCCCAGCCCCACCCTGTCTCCCCGTGTTGTCGTTTCTCTCCCCTCCCTCAGCCCCGACCCAGCCCCACTGGCCAGAACACAGACACATAGGTTTGGACACATTTAATGGAAGGATGCTACGAACAAGGGGACCCTTCCCTGGATGGGGGGGCGGAGGAGGGTGTCATCTTTCAGACACCGAATTATGGCCCTCCCCCCCACAGCCCTGCCCTGTGGGAGCCCAAGCCCTCCGTCCTCCCCTCCTCTGCCCTTCCCTCCCCCAACATTCCAGGTCCTGAACTCCAGACCGCTGGAAGGATGCAAGAGCATGCACACTCTGACATGCGCAGAGGGACAGATGCAGAAAGACAGCCAGCTGTCCACATGTGTGGGCAGACACACGGACACTTCTGGCAGTGCTTGTCTACACACACAGAAGCACAGATGTGCACAGCCAGCTCCACAGTGCACAGATACAAATACGCCTGGATCTGCATCGTGGGACACAGCCTGGGGTCCAAGGGCATCCAGCCACACATGCACACAGACACGTATCATGCGCACCCACAGAGACGCATGTTCACGCGCGGGACCTCCACTCTGGCCGTGCACGCGCACACACTCATACACCCCACAGGCACCCCGTCCTTCCCGTCTTGACCAGTCCCCTCCCCTCTCACCTCCCTGGGCCAATCCCATCCATCAAGCTTCGGAAGCAAGTCAGCCAGCAGCCAGGGAGGGAAAGGCGTCAGTGTGCCCTTCTGCCCATCCATCCCACCCCTCTGCTGGCCCCACACACCAGGCATGGGGTGCACACACACTTCTGCTGCATTGGACCACACAGAGACGAGGGCAGCGGGAGGGACCAGGGCCTCCAGCTAGCCACACACACGAGCACCCCCACCCTGCCCTGATCCCCCGTTAGTCTTGGCTTCCCCAGAGCTGGACAGCCTCATTGGCTGCCAAGGATGATTTGGGGTTGGGCTGTTGTCTGAGGCTAACTCTGCCTTCTTCCACCCTTCAAATCCCTTCAAATTTTAGAAGACAAGAGAGGGGAGAGGGGGATTAGACAGGGCAGGAATATTTGAAGTGTGGGGTTCAGGTGGTGGGGCGCCTGAGGGGGTAAGGACATTTACCTTGGAGCATCAAAGCTGTCGTAGGAGCCCACGGTATAATGCCGGAAGAGTCTCTTTGCCTTGTCGCTTCGGCTTTCTGCAGGGGAACAAGGGACAAACTTGGACCCTGCCATTGGAAACCCAGGTCTTCCCATCCACCTCCCACACCCCACCCCTGGGAGGAGGGACGAAGACAGGCCCATGAGACTTCTAGGGTGTGCTGAGGTCCCTCCTTACCTTGCTTTCCCTCTTGGGAGCGGTTTGCCACCTCTTCCAGGCAGTCAGAAGGGAACCAGCCGACTCGCCCTTTGACCTGGCCTTCCCAGAAGCCTCCTTCTCCGATGCTGAGCACTGGAGGTGGGGGGACATGGAAATGTTTCGGCGTTTCTGTGTTGCTCTCTGGCCGCCCCCGCCTGATGCCCAGCCTTCCCGAAATTCCCAGCACCTGGTCCAGGGGCATCCTGAAGCATAAGTGGGTGGTGGAGAACCAAGTCCTGGCACTTTCCAATTTTTCCTTTTAGGGCCCAATGGGGACATCAAGATGGGTTAAAGGACTGTGTGTCTCATGACACAGTCCACCCAGGTCAGGGGCAGATCGAGTGGTGCCCACTCCCCTGGTAACTCGCGTAGGGTAACAGCCACTCGAGTGACTCCGTTAAGCCCTCTAGGCTCTGTGTGGACTTGGATGACTGTTCCGAGCACAAGCTCTCCTCCACCCTCCATCTGTGCCCCTGCCACCTCCTGAAGTCACCTTGCCACCTAATCTTGTCATTCGCTGCCAGGCCTCTCTCTCTCTTCCATCCCTCAGCCTCCCCTGGCTCCAGGGGGAAAAGAGATTAGAATGGCCTCCCTCCTTCAGCCTCACACCCGGGCCTGGAGGCCACCTTCTACAGTGCCACCTCCCAGTTACCTTGTGCCCCTTGCATGCCCGGTGCTGAAGAACAGAGAGGGATGACAAGTATAGCAAGCATTTATCCAGCCCTCATGCTGGGCCAGAACCCTATGAGGGAGCCGTGCATTGTCTCTGTCTCACTGATGAGGACACTGAGGCTCGGAGAGCTAACATCATTTGCTGAGGGTCGGAGGGTGCACCGCCGGAGAAGCCGGATCTGCGCACGGGCCAGTCAGCGCCACAGCTGGTGCTCTAGTCACAGTGTGTTCTCTAACTCTTCATCCCAGCGTTTTCCACCTGTGCTAGCAACAGTGACGCACGCACAGTCTTCCGTGTCTCCAGCATTTTTAAGATGCTGTCACCACCTTCACATAGGAGATGTGATCAAAATATATGCTGAGCGCTCAAAATTTTTATTCCAGGAAAAGACACATTGCCATGAATCCGCCTCAGAATCCTCCTCCTCGCTTGGAACACACCTGTCCCATCATCCTTGGCACTTTCTGAAGCAGCTCTGGAAGCTCACTTTCCTGAAGGTCTTTAGAAGGTGCAATCAAAAATGCAGCGAACGCTGCTGTTTAGCACCATCTAACAGAAAGGCCGGCTCGTAAAAAACATCCTCACCACCTTATTCACCAGATCTGGCACCAAGAGGCTTCTGGCTCTTCCCCAAAGTCAAAATACGGCCATAAAACGTCAACGTTTTCAATCAGTTCAGGACACCGAGGCGGCCTGAGCGCAACTAAAGACACTCACAAAAGAGGATTCCAGAGCTGCTGCAGAAACTGGCAAGATCAATGGGATAAGTATGTTCACAGTGAGGCGGAGTGTTCTGCCATTGTGTCTTTTACTGTAACACATTTTATTTAAACATTAGACTTACTTTTTGATCACACCATCTATTTTCCTTCCTCCCTGAGTCCTGGGTAGGGAACAACTGGTTTCCCACTGAAGCTGAAGGTAACACAGAAAAGTTCCTGCTTGAAGGTGGCTCAGGCTGCACTAGGGGTCGACTGGGGGACACTGGGTGCTTTTCACTGTACACAGCCTCCCTGGGGAATTAGCATGGGAAGCCCAAGGTCATGGATGCAAGCAGGAGATGGGGTGGCCTGCAGCGTGGCTTCTAGGCTGGCTGGGCCATGCCTGGCTGAGCTGTCTTGTACTCACTCACTGTTCTACTGAACAAATACCTATTTAATGCCGAGGATGAAGGAGGTGGCGGGGGTCGACCCTGGCGAATACAGCCAGGTCGGTTACTGCCCAGACCAGAAGGACTGCAGGATTAGAAACCAAGGCCAGAGCTTGAGGGAAAGGAACAGAGTGTCTGGAAAGAGGCCAGATGGAAGCATATGAGCCGGGTAGCGAAGGTGTCCAGGGCCCTGAGGATGCAACACCTAAGCACAGGCTCCCAGAGCTGGGTGGGTGAAGGGGAGAGGGCAGTGATCCTGAGTGTAGGGTCGGGGGAGCTCCATGACACCTATGACTGGAAGCCACCTGCAAACAATCCCACCTCCTAGGTACCCTCTGGCAGATCGTGAGGCGGTGAAGTCCCTTGTCATGAAAGAGGGGGATATAAAAACCAGAGCAGCCTAGGTGTGGTGGCACACACCTGTGATCCCAATGCTTTGGGAGGCTGAGTCAGGAGGATTGCAAATTTGAACCCAGTCTGGGAAACTAAGAGATTCAGGAAGACCCTGACTCAAAATAAAAAATAAAAAGGACCAGGGAGGTAGCGCAGTATAGAGGCCCGGGGTTAAATCTCTAGTACTCCCCTCCCCCCAAAAATAAGAGGACAGTGTGTCCCTTTGCTATAGAGCAGTTCTGTGCTTGTAGTTTAAAAGGATGCAGTGGGAGATACAGTGGGGCCCCGTGTCATCCAGCAGGTCCCCACACTGACCTCAGTTTCCCTTTTTTCTTTCCTTCCCTCCCCCTCACGCCCCTCCCCGGCTTGCTGGCTGTGGTGGAGCTGCACTGGCCTCCACAGGTAGCATCTGCACTCACTCATTCACTCATTCACTCAACTCTCAGCAGTTGTTCATTCATTCATCCTGCAAACATGCAGAGACCAAGTGCCCATGACCTCCCTGCCTGCAGGCACTCAGGCTACGAGAGACAGTCTACCAGAAGACCCTCTGCTCCCTAAACACCCACTGAAGCCTCCCTCAAGGCTGCCTCCCACGGGGGACCCTCCCTGGTTGCCGGGCGCCCTGCACCTTCCCTCTGAGTGCCCACAGCAGGGCTGGCCCTTGGGCATGGCCTGTTGGTAAAAAGCACAGGTCTAAGTGCTTTACACGACTCCTCTTCACAAGGCTCTCACTTTACAGACGAGGAAACTGCCGCCCACAGAACTGACTTGCCTGGGGCCACCTCACTAGGAAGTGCTGGAGCCTGGATTTGAACCTGGGCAGGTGGCTCCCAGCTGCCACGCTGCTCGGCGCCCCGGGCAGCCCAGAGTCTGGTGCAGAACGGTTCTTCTACCTGGAGCTAACCACAGCAAGCCTCCCCAGCTCCAGACAACGCTTCCTCAGGGATGACAGCGACGGGCTGCCTCGTGGGGCTGCTGGCGCCATTCTCCAGGTGACACAGGAAGGAGAGGGAGGGACAAGCCCTCGGGACAGCAGCCACCACTCAGGGAGCCTTGGGCCGAGCTCTGCACCCTGCCGCCTCATCAGAGCCCCATGGTGGAGGCACCGTCTGCTTCTCAGTGACAACCCCCAGCCAAGGAAGATGCGAATCCCGGCTGCCTGGGTTCACGCTCCACGCGGGGAACAGGAAGACCTGGCTCTCACTGGGGACCGTGGGCAGCTGCCGCACGGACGTCCTTGCCCTGAACAGCAGCGCTCGTGACATCCTCCTGAAAGGGCCAGCAGGAGTCTGCGAGACTGCGAGGGTGGAATGCTCCGTCTAGCCAGCACCTGCCAGCGTCCCAAGAACCCCGTGTCCCCTGCTCTGCCTGACAGTGTCACCTCAGCTACACTTCCTGCTCCTTCAGGGCAGAGGGGCCTCTTGGGGGCTCCCTGAGGTCCCCAGAGTGGGTGGAACGCATTCTTGGGGCCTGAGGCTCCGATCCCGGCTGCCTCCTCCTGAGTCCTGGGCACCACTGTCCTTCCCACCCTGCCCAGTTACCTTTGATCTTCTCGCCCTTGCTCAGGGAGATCTCGCCCTCGCCTTGGGCCTGGTATGACTTCACAGCCATGAAAGAGCGTCCAGGGACTGCTGAGTAGAGCTTCCTCCGCCGCCCTCGGCTGCCCAGGGAGCCCCCGGGGCCCCCAGAGCCACCCGTGCCGCCGGCAGGCCCTTCCCGGGGAGTCCCACTGGAGCTGAGAACAAGAGGGTATGAGAGGCGGGGGGCTTCGAGGCGGAGAGGGGGCACCGTGGGGGAACAGGGCTCCTTGGAGGGCAGCAAGATGGAGCATGGGGCGGGGAGGGCCCTAAGTGAGTTTCCCAGCTCTGGCATCCTGGGGGAAGAGGGCATTTGGGGGCTCCCTCTGCCTGCCCACTGCTGCCCCCCAGCCCCCTCTCCTGCCTCCGCCCACGGTCCTGCACACACCACCAGATTCAGTTTCCCGGAGCTGAGCTGGGACTGTGTCATCCCCGGCTCACGAGTCTTCAGAGACTGCCTGCTTCCCCCTGGGTCAAGTCTAAGTCCTCGGCCCGCCACCCGAGCCCTCCTGCTTCCCCAGGACATGCCTGGCCAGCCCTGCCCTCCTCTAGCCAGGCTGGTCCCCCACCCCAGCATGGCCCCTGTGCGCCCTCCCCTCTGCCCTGCGGCCTCTGTTCCTCGCACCCCTGGCCTGCACAGCCCTCCCCAGCTGGCCCTCCTCCGGCCTCACCCTGCCGCCCTAGCCATCTGCAGGGACTAGAACCCACACTTCTGGGACCCTAGACCTCTGCCATGAATAGGACACGTGTGGGATGGCGTGAGGACAGCAGCTCACAATGCCTACGTGTTGTACAAGGGACAGTAGAGACAAGGGACCTGCCGCCATGCTCCGGATAGCAGGCAGACAGCCGGCATGGCTCGAGGGCGTCTGAGGGCATCGCTGGGCTCGGCCAGGGCTGTGGCCTCCTACCTGGGCCGTCCTCGGGGTTGCCTCTTGGCTTCCTCAGGGTGCCTCCCTCGGGACGGGGAGCGGGCCCGGGCACCCCTGGGGCTGCTGGCACTTCGGAGGGTCCCGCTGCTGAGCTTGGTGGTGGGGGCCGCGGGCTGTGACTGGCCCTGAGGCCCTGAGGTAGGGCCCGGGGCCCCGGAGGATGAAGTCCCCGGGGCAGAGAACACCATCCAGTCGGGCAGCGCCATGCTGGTGTCACTGTTGGCCCTGAGCAGCGCAGGGGGCACCGTCAGTCCTGCCCCCGGGGGTCCCCGTCGCCGGGCTGCGTACTTCGGGGACTCCTGGAAGGGCACTGAGAGGCCACAGTGGGGATTGGGGACGACAGGGTGGGAAGTCAGAGGCAGAGGCAGGTGGGAGGCATTAGGGCAGGAGAGGCATGGGAGAGAAAGACGGAGATGAGAAAAGCGGGGGTCCTAGAATCACTCCCCCCAACTCCTCCATTCCATCTGGATCCCCCAGTCCCACCACAAACTGGGGGGCAACTCCACGCTTGAACCCCAAGTTGCCCCAGATCCCCCTTCCTCACCCACATCCTGCTCCCGATGGTTTCGGATGAGCTCCCCCAGCTCGAAGTTTCCAGCAATCACGGCCACCTGCAGGGAGGGGGTGCGGGGAGGGTGCAGGGGAGGAGCGAGAGAGGGAGGAAACATCCTGAGGGCCCCAACCCAGCACCTCACCCTTCTCTGTCCCAGACCGCAGCCTCCCTCCCAGCACTCCTTGCGGTCCTCCTTCCCAGTCCCCGCAGCCCTGTGCACCCCCAGCCCAGACCTGGAAGGGCGTCTGTCCGCTGTTATTCTTCACATCCTTGTTGGCCCCTCGATAGAGGAGGATCCTGGCACAGGTCTCCTGCGGGCGGCAGCCAGTCGCACAGGACGAAAGGGAAAGCAGCAAAAGGTCAGCGTGAGCGGACCCCAGCTCAGGCACCTTGCTAAGAACTCCAGGAAGGATCCAGCCTAAGCCCGCACGGCCTGGAGCTGCAGCCTCACAGCAGGGGCTCCCAGCGCTTCAGATGCAAAGAGCTGGGTATGTGGAATACACGCAGGGTTTCTAGGACTTAGTATGCAAAAAACGACCAACTAGCTCTGATAGTTTTTATACTGATTCGATGTTAAGTGGTAGTAGTTTAGACAAGTTGGGTTAAAGTATGCGACTAAAATGAACATCTCCTGACACTTCCTCTTTAGATGTGGCCACCAGGACCCTGAGGAGGCGAAGGACACTGAGCTGATGTGGCTGGAGCCGGGTCCTGCTCACGGTGCTGCTCTAAAGCGCATTCTCGGCCCTGTTCTCAGCCCTGCGGGGTGTGGAGCAGCCTCCTGGCTTCTACCACTAGATGCCAGTAGCAGTCCCCTTCTCGGTCCTGACAGCCAAAATGATCGCCAGACATTGCTAAACGTCCCCTGGGGAGCAGAAGCAAGGGAGAACCACGCTCGCTTGAGTCTGACACGGGGCTCTGGCGCTTGGCACTTGTGAGGCAGAAAGTCTCGGAGTTGCCCAGCCGTCCCAGGAGATGGAAATGATTGCCCCTATTTTACAGTCGGGGGAACTAAGGCTCCCGAAGGAGCTCAAGGTCGCATGGTGGGGACTTGTCAGCACTCAGATTCTAACCCAGGGCTGTCTGACTCCGAGGTCTTTGATCTTAATCACACAGGAGCCGGACCCAGAAGGAAGAGGGCACATCCTAAGGGGCAGAGGGGCCAGGACGGGGCGGTGGGACAGGCACGCCATCTACATCCCCGTCAGTCCCTCAGCAGTGTCACTCACAGGTAGGTCTCTGCTTAGCGTTCTTGCCCTTGCCCCACTCGGGGGCTGAGCTGTCTGCCCTGCCCTGCCTCTGCCGATTTCACCTTCTGCCACCTTCTCTGGGTCCCGGGGCTCCAGCCGACACTGGGCTCCTGGCACAGCGCCTTTGGGCCTCACACTCCCCTGCTTGGAAGCCTGCACTCAGTTTGCTCTCTGACTTCATTCAGCTTCCTGCTCAAATGCCGTCTCTCCGGGAGGATGTCTCTGGCCACTCTGACTAAAAGAATCCCCTTGTCTTATTCCTTCCTATTTAGTTTATTTTTATGGGACCCTCTTGTATGCGCCAGGCATTCTTTTAAGTCAGTATCAACTCATTTTCTTCACACCACCACCTTGCACATTCCATTCTCCACGTCACTTGCACCTCTGCCCCTCATCCAGTAAGTTAACGGGGGCAGGATTTTGTCTGCGGCCCCCGCTATCCGGAATAGTGCCCGGCTCACCGGATTGTTGGATTAACAGTAGGTCAATGGGTAAACTGGCCTGGCCAGACCCAGCCTGCCCGGCCCCCAGCTTGGTTCCACGCTGGCTCTCTCTGATGCTAAGCCATAAGCAGCTCCTTATCTGGCTGCTTCCGCAGGCGTCCTCCAAGCAGCCTGGTGCAAACTCCTCCTCCGGGACAGGCTCAGGGAGGGCAAGTCCCACGCCTGGGGCCGCAGACAGCAAGCCGGCAGTCAAGACGTGAGCCTGGCCTTCTGCTCCCTCTACAAATGGACAGCTCCAGTTGCCAAGGTCGCTCACTGGACACCAGCTAGCTGGCGCTCCGGGTGTGCTGTGAGTGGGCGTGTGAGCACATGTGCCAGCCATGCCGCTAAGTACTGCCACGTGCGTGCGTGCATATTGCCACACACCTCCAATCCCACCTGGCGGGGGGCGGGGGGAGACAAGGCCCGAGCGCCGAGCAGCTGCTCACCCCCTCTTCCTCCTGCTCTGACCAAACTGAGCCGAGGTCTAAGTCTCAGTTAGTGTCTCCCCTCCCTGGGCGCCTGGAGGAGCTCTGTTTACTTATAAACTAGCGCCTCTCTCACGGGACTGCAGTGATTTGTTTACACATCTGCCTCTTCGCCAGACTGCGAACTCCCCCCAGCCTCCCAGGGCACACACACCGTCTCCGATTCACCTCCATCTCGCTTCCCCAGCACCTCGCCCCAGGCACGCAGTCGGTGCTCAAGCAATGTGCATGGCAAGGGTGAGGATGGAGTAGATGGAGCTGTCAGTCAGAATTCACTTGTTCAAACCCATTCATTCATTCATTCATTCACGGAGTCATTCGATCTGCTGAAACAAGCAGACACCTGCTGAACACCCTGAGCCGGGTATGTGCACAGTCCTGGTGGAAATCAACAGGGCCGGCCCATCACTCACTCACTCACTCACTCACTCATTCATTTATTCATTCCATAAGGACGCAGCCAGGCCTACTGCATGCAGTTCACGAGACTCAGCCCCGCCCTCGAGGTGCTCACAGCCTAGCCCTGCCCTTCCCACCAGAGGCCACACAGGCTCCCCAGGGCCCAGTGGAATCGAGAGCAAGTCATGGTCAGCCCAGTCTGGAGCCTGGGTGGGGAGAGAAATAGAGTGGGCTCACGTGCATTCATCCTGTGCTGTCAGACACCATGCTGAGCACCTCCTTCCGTGTGGTGGGTGTGAACTACTGACCCGTTTCACAGATGAGAGGAGGGAAGCTCAAGGGTGAAAGTGACCTGCTCATGAGGCCCACTACGCATAACTGTGCCTGCCGGACAGTCCCCTGTATGACACTTCCCCTGCTCAGATGAATGGCGTGTCTGCTGCCTGCCACTGGCAATGACCGTCATAATCACAATCACCACTATTATGGCTTCCTCCTAGGGAGGAACACCGCATACCGTGATCACTCATCCTTTCCATCGGCCGACATGGTGCCATTTCCAGGACAGGGGTGGGAAAAGGGGGCTCGTCAAAGGCCCCTTCATCTGCCTGAAGCTGGGGCTTCTCGCCTTTGGCCACAAGGCTCCCTGTGTCAGGGAGCAGGAGAGACAGGCAGCAGGGAGGGACGCGCCAGCCCTGTGCTGCTTCGGTTGGACAAACACTGAGTCCTCCCTCGGCACTGAGCATGCTGCTTGCTGCCACACGGCGGCATGTGGCCACCTGCCAAGTCCCTGGCACTGCAAGTTCTCATGAGGCAGAAGGGGCTGGGGCTGTTTTGGAAGACTTCCTGGAGGGAGGGGCTGACGGCCCAGCAGCGTCACGCAGGGCCCGTCCCCACCCCCACGTGCCCGCAGCAGCCCTGCAAGGACAGGGAGCAGCAAGACGCTGATAGGTGGCTGAGGATCCAAGGGGACACTGCCTGGGATAGCACAGTACTCGGGTGGCAAAGATGCCAATGGTCGTCACAGCTTGCTACGTGAGACCCTCCTGTCTGCTTGGTCCTGCCACCTCTCCAGGGATTTGCTGGGGCAGGGACTGCCCACCAGCCCGGGACTGCAACAGGGCAACACAGCCTCTCCCCTCTGGGAGCCTGCTTTGGCCTTAGCTCCATGCAGACTCCATACAGACTGCTGGCTAACTGGAGTCCGATGACAAATGGGGGCTGCTGAACCCCTCTACATCCTGCAGTGGTCCTCACTCTGGCCCTCTGGTCTTTTGCACAGGCTCTGCCCTGTGGTTGAAGCACCTTATTTCCCCTCTACCCAGCCAGCTCCTCCTTGTCTTAACAAGGGTGGCATCCTCTAGGATGCCAGCTCCACCCAAGCCCAACCCCAGATATGGTCCAGAGGGGACCTGGATTCCCCTGATGTCACTCTGAGCTCTCTGGATTGTAAGAGAGATAGAGAGAGAGGGATGTCATCTGCCCTTTGCTAGACCATGAACTCAACACTTTGTCCCCAGCAGTCAGCTAGGGGCATGAAACAGGGAAGGAGCTCAATATGTATTCACTGCATGGATGGATGGATGGACGGATGGATGGATGGATGGATGGATGGATGGATGGGTGGGTGGATGGGTAGATGGACAGGTGAACTGATAGGTGGATGAATGGATGGATGGATAGGTAGGTGGATGGATGTATATAGCTGGCTGGCTGGCTGGCTGGCTGGCTGGATGGACAGACAGATGGATAGATGGATGATAGATGGATGGATGAGTGCATGGGTGAGTGGATGTGTAGGTGGGTGAGTAGATGGATGGATGAATGAGTGGATAGGTGGGGGATGGATGGATGGATAGATGGATGGGTGAGTGGATAGATGGATGACAGATGGATAGATGAGCAGATGGACTGATAAGTAGATGAATGGATGGATGGATGGATGGATGGATGGATAGGTGGGTGGATGAAGAATTAAGGAGTGCAGTAGCAGAGGGTGCAGCAGCTGGGAGGCTAGAGTTGAAAGGGATTGAGTTTAGCCCTGGGGAGGTGTCTGCAGGTGGGTGGGTGGGTACGAGGGGGCGAGCGGGTGCTGCTGGGGCAGACCTTGTTGTAGAGAGCACAGATGTGCAGGGCCGTGTTCCCCGAGGCGTTCTGGGCTCCAGGCTCAGCCCCGTAGAAGAGCAGGTGTTCCAGGTGCTGGGAGTGGCCCCGCTGACAGGCCTGGGGGGGGAGAGGGAGCAGAGATTGGTGAGATCCAATCTGCCCCCACCCAGGCTCCTTCCCCTTGAGGCCAGGAATCCCTGTAGCCACCCCTTCTTCTCCTTCCCACCCCTTTCCTGGTCAGGGAGCAAGGCTGTCAGCTTCACGAGTCTGAACGTTTCTTCCTAAGCATGGGCGTCCAGTCTGGTCCTTCAAGGGGGCTGAGAGGCCAGCCAGGGCCATTCAAGGATCACACTGTCTGGGCTCCAAGCCCACCTTCTCCTTTGTGGGGACTGCTGTTCTTACCCCCACCTTCTGTGCTATGGGGACCCCAGCATCTGGATCCCAGCCTCAGGCGCCTGGATGCCTCAAGACCCAGGCACCCCCGACCCCCAGCCCAGCTGAGTCCAGGGCACCTGGTGGATTTCCTGCCAGCCGTTCTCGTCTGCTATGCCCAGCTGGGCCCTGTTGAACAGAAGCAGCTCGCAGCAGCGGGGATCACCCCCCACCATAGCTGTGTGGAAGAGAGGGGTCAGCCCCCGGCGGTCCTTGTAGTTGGGGGAGCCTCCAAGGTCCAGGAGGGCCTAGGAGGGAGAGAGAGGACAGAAGACAGTCACGCAAGAACTGGCTCATTCTGAAGGGCAGGTGGGGAGCTGAGTCCTGGGTGGCCCACACCAGCAAAGCCTGTCACACCTCTGCCATGATGCTTCTTTGTGACCTGAGCCAGGCCACTCCCTGCTCTGGGCCACTCCTGTCAGGGGAGACACCTCCAGAGGACCCTGATGCTCTGACATCTTGCCCAACCTTCCCTCATGGGTGACCACAAATGGGACACTGGAGGATCTCAGTGGCCATGGTGCTCCCATTCCCAGTCCATAGGATGCTTGCTGGGGGACAAATGAGACAATGGAGTCTGGACACAAGAGGTACCTTGGCCAATTGGGGATGGATGGATGGATGGATGGGTGAGTAGATGGATGGATGACAGATGGATAGATGGGTAGATAGACAGGTGGACTGATAGGTGGATGGATGGATGGACAGGTGGACTGATGGACAGATGGATGGATGGATAGATGGATGGATGAGTAGATGGATGGATGACAGATAGATGGATAGACGGGTAGATGGACAGGTGGACTGATAGGTAGATTAACGTATGGATGGATGGATGGATGAGTAGATGGATGGATGACAGATAGATGGGTAGATAGACAGGTGGAGTGATAGGTGGATGGATGGATGGATGGATGGACAGGTGGACTGATGGACAGATGGATGGATGGATAAGTAGATGGATGTATGACAGATAGATAGATGGATAGATGGGTAGATGGACAGGTGGACTGATAAGTGGATTAATGAATGGATAGATGGGTGGATGGATGAGTAGATGGATGGATGACAAATGGATAGATGGGTAGATGGACAGGTGGACTGACAGACAGATGGATAGATGGATGGCTGAATAGATAGATTCATGACAGACAGATAGATGGGTAGATGGACAGGTAGACTGATAGGTGTATGACTGGATGGATGGATGGATGGATGGATAGGTGGGTGGATGAAGAATTAAGGAGTGAAGCAGCAGAGGGTGCAGTGCCTGGGAAGCTAGAGTCAAAAGGGCTTGAGCTTAGCCCTGGGGAGGTGACCAAAATCTCAAGGATGGGGCACACAGGCCAGCCTGGGTCAGAGCAAGCTTTGGGGGAAGGCAGGCATTGGCCCGGCCTCCCTGGGAGTGAGGGTCGGGGGGCGAGTGGCTCCATGTAATGGGAGGCTCTGGGCACTGAAGGCAGGCGGCACTGAGCATCAGCGTGAGAAAGTATTGACGGCAGCCCGTGCAAGGAGGCCCGCAGCAAGGCTGTGCAACAGAGCATTCAGCAGCGGGGAGCTGGTCTCCAATCGCATGGTCCAACATGGTGGCCACACACGGCTGCTGAGCCCCAGGGGCTGAATTTTAATTTAACTTAATCTTAATTAATTGAAATTTAAATAGTCTCATGTGGCTAGTAGCTAATGGATTGGATAGTGAAGATCTGCAGGCTGTGTGTGTGTGTGTGTGTGTGTGTGTGTACACAAGATGGAGCTTGGGGGTGAGTGTGCACTGGGGATACATGAATACATGAGCAGGGTCTGTTAGATGGGCTTGGTGGCACCTGCTGTGATCCCAGTGCCCTGAGGGATGGAGGCTGGAGGATCCGGTCTGGGCAACTCAGGGAGACCCTGTCTCAAAATAAAAAGGGCTGGGGGTATCGCTTAGTGCGAAGGCCCTGGGTTCCACCCCCAGGGCTGGGGAAGAAAGAGTCCCACAGTGGGTGGGGACGTGTGCTGTCTCTTTGGAAAAGGATGTTTCAGTGCGGTACACGAGCAAGGGCAGTGTGTACCGTGGGAGAAGGGGGGAGGGAGCAGTGGTTAGAAAGGGGTGATTTTGGGGTGTGCTGGGGCACAGCGAGGGGCTCACTTTTATGGACTATGAAGAGGCAGAAGCAGGTGGGCACTGAGCTACTCAGAGGAGAGTCGTTCCGGGCCTCTGGGGGAAGAGGTGGGTGCTGAGGCTGTCATGTGCTGTCCCTGGACTGAGGTGGGTGGCCCTATGGGCCCAAGGAGGGTCAGCGACAATAGGGACGGGTGTACTTGTCAGTCTTTGGAAAGCGGCTTAGTACGAGGGACAAGAAAAAGACCTTTTCCTCCCCAGCGCTGGGGATTGCACCCAGGGTCTTCACATTGAGCGACATCCCCAGCCCTTTTTATTTTTTATTTTGAGACAGGGTCTTGCAAGTCACTAAATTTCCCAGGCTGGGCTCTAACTTGTAATCTTTCTGCCTTGGCCTCGCAGAGTGACGACATTATAGGCATGTGCCACCACGTCCAGCTAAGAAAGGCTTTAAAAAAAAAACAAAACAAAACAGGTATTAAAGAAGTGGGGTTTGAGACAGAACAAAGAGAAAAGGAGAAGGGACCCAGGCAGAGTGCAGGGTCAGTCTTACCGTGAGCGCCAGGCAGTGTCGGGCACATGCGGCCTTGTGCAGCGCTGTCATGCCATCCCGGGCCCGGAAGTCAATGTGGGCCCCACCCAGACACAGGGTTCGAATCACCTCTACGGAGCCTTCGGTCTGGGCTGCCAGGGTCAAGGGGGTCTCTGAGGGCCAAGAAAGGCTTGTCACATGCAGGCCTGCGACCTTTCCAGCCCTTCCCACCTCCAGCGCCACAGCGTGTGGCCCTGTGGCCTCTCTCAGAAGGGTGACAGACTGGGACTGGTATTGGCAAAAACGGATCTGGGTGCAGATGCTCTGCCCAGGCCTCTCTACCTCCCGAATCCGAGTCATGGTAGTTGGGGTCCAGCCCCTTGTCCAACAGCCGCGCCACCTTGTCTGATGTCCCGAGCTGCACGTACTCCAGGAATTTCTTCAACCCCGTCTGAGCCATGGACAGAGAGAGAGGACAGGCTGGTCAGGGGCCAGCGGGGCTTGCCGGGAGGCAGAGATCTAGAACAGCACCACCCAGTGGAAATACACAGCCAGCCACAGGCAGCCCGGGAAAGTTTCTAGCAGCTGCCTCCAAAGAAAAAGGACAAGAGGAGCCATCTAGACAGTGACATTCATTTTGATGATAAATGTTCTCGGACGAATAGCTCCACAATATAACTGCTCCAACAGGTGAGCCATATGAAAATTATTAATGAGACATCTTACTGCCTTTGCACTGATTCTTGGCAACCCCCTGTGTACGTCACACCCACAGCAGGACACATGTGGCCGCTGGCTCCCAAGGCAGACAGTGCCGGTCACAAGGACCGAAGGGATCACAGAGAGGAAAGAATGGAATTCGTGGCGTGCAGGACAGGGTGTGGATAGCAGGGATCAGGGTTATTTTCTCCCCCGGTGTCAGGAATCCTCCTCCTTTGGCTCCAGTAGTCCCCTACCTTCCTCCCAGCTCCTAGGTGCCCAGAGGAGACACAGGGGGTGCTCTGGAAAGGCCTCAGGAGAACCAGCAGGGCTGGTTGGCAGAGACTGGGGCTGTGGGCTGGGACTGAAGGGTGCCTAGGAAATGGTCCCTAAGCAGAGCGCTGGGTGCCAGAGTTCCAGGCCCAGGAGGGGCAGGAAAGGGGCCCTGAGTGACGTGAGAGTCTCAGGTGAAGTAAGGAGGAGTCCAAGAAGCCCGGTGGGCCTGGGCTGAAAGATGAGGGGCCAGAGAGGGAAGCCGAAATCAGGGTAAAGTGGGGTCCCCCATTGTGATGCAGCATCCCAAGTCAAGCGAGACCCTGGCAGGGCAGCAGAGGGGCTGGCGCCACGGAGCGGGGTTCCAGGCGTCTCGGGCTGGGAGATTTGGGGGTGGAAGCCAGCACGGTTCCCTCACCTTTGTGTGCAACTTGGCCAGCTGCTTCTCATCCAGGTTGGTCTGTTTGTAAACTCGGGTCTTGTATCGGAACTGAGGCCAGGATGGGGTTGGGGAGAGAAAGAGATACGGCATTAGGGGCCTGCGGAGGTAAGAGCCGCACCCCAGGGTCCCCCAGGGTGGGCTCAGGGCTGGGGGGGCAGAGGGGGCAGGGGCTTTGCCAAGGAGCACGTGTGTGACCCTGCCTTGAAGGAGTAGCATCAAGGGCCCGCAGGGAACCCTCTAGAACACCTGATGGAACTGCAAGCCCTTCCCCAGCTGATGGGCCAAGAGAAGCTTGGGGTGGGGGAAGGGGCTGGCCAGAAGGAGGACAAACGACATGAGCTCAGGCCCCTGTGGGTTCTCTCCTGTGACTCTGAGGCCATCGGAACGGCCCACTGGGGTTTCTCGGGTTTGGGTCTTAGCTGACAGTAACAGAGGAACACCCACGCCCTCTCTTGAACGTGGCAACTGGGCTGGGGAGGCCGTGGCCTCACCTCCAGGTAGGGGACCCCCTTCTCGAAGGACTGGGGATACTCGCGCAGCAGCCGCTCCTCCTCCAGGAAGTTAGCGTCGCGGCCTGAGGTGGCCGGCTGGAAGAGCCCGTAGTTGAGCACGTCCTGCAGGCTCTCGCTCAGGGCGCAGAGCACCTGCTGCTTGGCTGTCCAGATGGTGGCATCGGGGTTGAAGCGCAGGCATTTCTGGGGGGCAAGGGGACAGCGGGCCCAGGGTGGGTCAGGGGTCCCACTGAGCTGGGGTGAAGGATGATTTGAGGGTCAGGAGGAGATGGGAGTGTACTTGGAGCCAGAATTGGGGGCTTCCAGGGAAGACACCAGCCCCACCGGCTGCCTCACACCAGCTGAGGCTCCGACACCCCCTCAGCGGCGCGTCACTCACTGTCTGGTGCAGGTCCGGGATGCCAATCCTGAAGACCATCATGCTGAAGTGGGCGTCGTCAGGGACAGACATGGAGCGGCCCTGGAGGCCTCGGACTGAGGCCAGGTTACCAGGTGCCCCACTGCCCCGGCCCCGGGTCCCCCGGGGGCCTCGCCCTGGTCCGTCTGGGGAGCTGTCGGACTCTGAGCCCCCCTCGGGACACTCGCTGACACTGTGGCGTTCCTCGTCCTCGCTTGTCGCGGGGCTGTGGGTCATTGTGGGGCCACGGGGCAGTGGAGGACAGCAGCATCACAGGCGGCTGCAGGGGCCGGGGGGGACTGTCAGACTCGGAGTCAGGGACTCCGCGCGCGGGAGAAGCAGCCAAGGGTGGCCTCGCCCCGCTGCTCCGGGCAGGCTGGAAGGTGGCAAGCACACCCTCAGACCTGCACGGAGCTCCTACTGCTTCCGGCACACACGCCCACATCCCCAAGGTGCTCCCAGCCCCTGTCTCCTTCCCTGCCCTTGGCCCTGCTTGCAGCCCCCCACCCCCCGTGCCCCACTTTGCTGCCGACCCAGCGTGGCCATGTCCCAGAAACCGCAGAATCACCGCGGGAGCTACTGGCCCACTTTGTCAGGCCACAGAAAAATGCAGCTAAAATTAGCTGAGGACAGACAGGTGGGCCTAGGGACCGGCATCCTGCCCTCCTGGCCCTGGCCTGGCCCCTCACCCCAGGGGAGACTGAGGCTGCGATGTAGTAAGGAGAGGGAGGTGTGGCGTGCCTGGGGCAGCAGGAGGTGCCCGGGAGCGCTGGAAGCGGTGACTTCACTCAAGTGTGGCTGCCAGCATGTGCAGAGAGGGCTGCTGGGAACGGGCTGTCCCAGGGGAGCAAGGGGCATGGGATGAGGGTGGCATGGGGCAGTGTTGCACAGGGTGTACCCGAGGGAGCTAGGAGAGGTGGCCTTGGGAGGACAGGGGCAGGCTGCCCAGGCACATGGCTGGCTAGGAAGGCTGGTCCTGGAAGCAATGTCCAGGTGACAGCGGCTGCTGGCCTGGGTGGCTGTGGGAGGCTGTGGAGGACCTGTGGGTGGTCCAGGCCTGGCTGCAGGGTGGGTGGCCCGGCATTGCTGGCCCTGGTAGCTCCACTCTGAGGGGCACAGGGCGTGGAGGAGGTGACTGGGGAGGGAGCTAAGAGGTGAGGCAGGGAGCTGGGGGACTAGGGTGCAGGGTGACCTCTGAATCCCTGCTGTTCTCTCCTAAGGGTGCCTTAGGAGGGTGGGACCCCCCCAGGTGGGGTCTGCTTCTTTCTCCTCTCCCCCTACTCCCACCCCAGCACAGGAAACCAGAATGTCTGGTCTGGTCCCTCCCCCCCACACCAGGCCCAGCTCCTGCACCGTTGCCATGGAGATGGGAAGCAGTGGAGGGTACTGCTGACTTTGGGGGAGTGGGGATGGGCTGGGGGTTGGGGACGGGAAGACAAAATGTGTGTGCAAGGAGAGTTCCAAGAACTGTGGGCGAGCAGCATCTAAGCAGGGGCCGGGACCGTCCCCCACGTGTGGCCAGGGCTGCCTCTCCCTCCAAGGGCGCAGCCACGCCGCCCCACCCACCCTGCCCTGCCGGAGACCCCAGACACCTGGCCACCCCGCATTCTGCCTCCTCATCTGGGGCCGCGGCCACTCCCCCTCGGCTGACCCTGGCTGACCCCCACGCCCCAGCCCTGCAGGAAAGGGGTGGCAAGGCGGGTGACAGCGAGGCTGGCCGAGGTCCCCAGTCCCACGCCCGCGGCTGCCCCAGCCCCCAGGACCCGCTGGGCCCCTCCCCCTCCGGCCTCGAGGGAGGGAGCGGGCTCACTCCGCCGGGGCGGCATGAATCAAACGCTCCGCGGCTAAGAATAGCTGGCACGCAGCTGGTACTGAGACGGGCTGAGGAATCGACGGGGGGGGGGCAGGGGAGAGGGGGTGCCCTGTGAGGCTGCGGGGGGACAGGGGGCGGCTGGCGTGGCCGAGAGCGGGCCCAGGAGAATGAATGGAGGCGGAGAGAGGCGGGGAGAGCGACGCTAGGCTGGGGC